GGACCCCCTTCTGGGTCAACCCTCCACCCCCTCCCCCCGATCGCGGCACCCTGCTGTCGCCGGCGTTGATCACCCGGAGGACGTGCCTGCGCAGGCGCCCCCCCCCGTACGGCCGCCCCAGGACCAGGCCCCGCCCCTTTCGCATCCACTCCACGGTAAGGAGGGGGGCAGGGCTGGACCGAAACGTTGTTGTTCATTTTGTTTTCGGTTTGCTGTTCGTTTTGCTCTACCTGGTTTCCTGCACCTCCCTCCCAAAACGAAAACCAAAACACAGCGATTAGGTCCAGCCCTGGAGGAGGGGACTCGAAAGAGGGACCGGAGAACATCACGAGCGGCGAAATCCATATCCACGCCTTCGCGGGCTGGATTAAGGGGCGCGATCCCGTGGATGTGCTGTCGCATGGGTACTTTCCGCGCGGCATCCGCGACACAACGCCTTGGAACTATCCATAGCGTCGCGGTGCAGTGCCCTGGCCCGCGAGGCCGTGGATATGGATATGCGTCCCGCTTAAGAGGAAAGAGTGACGAGGATAATGGCAATATACCGTATGGCAAGACGTCAAGCGAACACCGAAACACAAACCGGCTCGAACATCCGGCCCAGATCTAGTTTTGACGGCCGCTGGGCTCGAAGCGGGCTGCCAGAGGCGGCATTCACGAAACAGCTAACCGATCCTTGTGCGCCCGCACTTTCTGCTCGCCGCTAAAGATACTCACATAAAACAGTCCCTGCCTCCGCGGAAGGGCACTCCCGCCACGACACTAGCTTGCGAAGCGCGGCTACCGCACGCGCAGCAAGTGCCGCGCGACTGGATACCTCCTCGCCTCGGGTCGATGGTCTCCCTCGTTCCAGTCGCCACAAAGAGGTGAAGGGAGACAGAGGAGCAGTAAGACGATTGATTTGAGTTGGACTCGTGAAACAAGCGTACCCTTCCTCGACTGGGTGCGTTGCCCTGCATCAGACTAGACACATGGCAGATGGAAAGGCAAGGATTGCAGGACGAGGAAGATTACGCGGAGGTGAGATGATGAGGAGTCGAAAGACAAGTAGGAACATATGCATCCGCAGCACGAGAAGGTGGAGGCGGGCGAAGCTGAGGAGGAGAAAGAGTAGAAGGTAGGGTGGAAAATTGGAGAGGTACTAGAGAGGGGAAGGGAGATACGGAGAACGGACGATGCAGAGGAGGTTCAATACGAAAAGAGATTGGGGAGGGCAAAGAGGAGGGAGGATGAGGATGAGGATGAACAAGACAATAAGGATACCTACCTAGTCAACAAGCATAAGGCCCTTCCTAATAATTAGTCGGTGCCATCCCCTGCGCGACACTGGCAGCAACGGCATGAACGGTGATGCCTCCTGCTCTCCTGTCTCATTTGGTGATAATGCATGTCGACGAATACCGAAGAAGCAATGCCTGTCTCCGGCCTTCGATGGCTTATGCACGATGCCTTCGCCGCGGCAACTGCTGGCGATACATGAAAAACATAACTGGCCGTCATAATCCTGCAGGTACTGCTTTCTTGCGCAAGCGCATCATCTTTGCTCTCCGGTCCCCTTTTTCTCCACGTCCTCCTCTCACCATCTTTCGCGAACTTCCCGCGGGAGTGCATCCAATGCAACTAGCAAATACTGAATTAACGCTCGGTGTGACGCGACTGGTGCTCTCAGGAGCGTGCGGTGAATTTGCATGATAATGTCAGCTGCTAGCAACATACGCGGAGTCATGTTTCTCCTCCTCTTCCACCACCCATCGTTATCTAGGTTATGCGCTGACCATTATTCTCACCACCCTCGACCTCGTCAGCGTGGTCGTCGCCCCTCTTAGCATGACATTTAATTAACCCAGTTGAGTATTGGATTCGAAGCAAAGCCCAATTCCTAATTGCACAGTTAGTCAGCAATTCAAGACTCTAGCGCAAATGATCATGAATCAATTCTGTGAGGGCAGCGCACACAACAACAATCTACTCCCAGCTGAACGGCAAGGAATGCAATCCTCCGTCCAGGATGAATCAGGCACATCCGTCGTCTCTTGTGTTCGCTTCCTCCTGCACCCCATCGACCTCATCATCTTCATTCGCCCTTGTCCCTGCTTTTCCTGATCCTGATTGTAATCCCCCTCCCCTTCTCGTCCCCCTCCTCATCTTCCTTCTCTTTGTCCACCCTGGTTCGCCCTCCCTCCACACCTGACACTGCGCTGCCCCTGCAGCGTCTGCGCTCAGAACGCAGAGCGCGCCCACTGAGGTCGAACACTTCAAATGTATGTCTTTTTTCGTCGGAGAGTGCGGGGGGAAGGCATGCGGGCGGAGGCACACATAGTCCCTGTGGAACCGCTCGGCTGCTCACTGTCCAAGAATTCCTTCCCCCGGCGGGTCTGGCCCGAGAGAGCAACCGCAACACTGGCACCGTGTGATTTGTTATCGGTCACGCCGCGCGTGACGCGGGACGCAATCAGCACGAGGTAATATGTACGTGTCCGATGGCCCCGATCCTGCATAGTAAAGAAGACGACCAAACAGTAACTTCTGGAAGTCCGCGTTGATCTCTTGGGTAGGCGCTGGAAATCCCATGGGAGGGAACGATAGGGGGGACTGGCCAGGGGGGGGGGGGCATCGAGTTTGAACCGGCGATGCATCACCAACAGATCGGCGATGCGCCCCCGACAACAAATCCGTACGCTCCTGGGCGGGATGGGCCAGCGGGCGCCTGTCTCGGGGGCGTGCAAACATGGATTAGCGATCCATGGATTTGGCGCGCGGTCGCCGAATCCATGGATCGGGGGAGGTGCCCTCTCCAAAATGCGGCCAATGCCGCCTCGTTCGGCGGCGGAAACCAATCATGTACCATGGCCATGGAAACGGGGCCCGTCGCTAATCCACGCCCCCTTGATCCATGTTTGCGATCGCCTGACTTTCCGCGATGAATGCGCGATTGGGGGTCGACGCGCCCCCCTCTGAGCTTGTCCCCTCCCTGCTGACGTTGCTTTTAACCCCTCCTCACATCTCTTCGCCAGCGCGCGGGGCGCGCCAGGGGCGGCGCCAGAGGCGCGGCCCCCGGGATGGCGAGGATGGGGGGAGGAGGGAGGAGTAGGATTAGGTCGGGCAGGTCCTCCTACAGGAGGATTTCCGAGGAAAAATCAGACACAGTCGAACAATGCGGAAACATAGTCGAACATAGTCGAAACATAGTCTCCACATAGTCTCCAGAGTATTTTTTGACATTTTTGAATCTTCTCCCTGTAGAGGAACACGCCCGACTCAAGAGTAGCAGGGAGGAGGGAGGAGGAGGAGGAGGAGGCGGGAGGAGGAGCCTTCGCCGACGATCCAACAAATACGCACGGACCTCTGAACATTGATGCTCGCGCCTTGCCCTCTGTGCTTCGAATCTAGACCCCTCCGGGTGCCCGCGTGGCCCGAGAGCGTGCGCGTCTCGGAGCTGATGATACAGCGATCTACCAGCATCGTGCCGATCGGACACTTGGGCGCGAACGCCGCAGAGCACGGCGCCGAGGCGAGGGAGGGGAAGGCTTAGGTCGAGCCTGTCCCCGCTACAGGGGGATTCTGGACGAAACATCAGAAATAGTCAAAACAGGTCCCCCCAAAAGGATCAACAGTAGTCAAGACATCGTCCCCTGACTATTGTTGGACTGGTTTTGAATACTCCTCCTGCAGAAGGACCCGCCCGACTTCAGGGAAGGCATGGGCAGCAGGCGGCACCGGCACGGGCCTTCAGAGGGCCCGCGAAGACATCTTTTGGGGTCCGCGCTCGGGGCCCTCGGAGAGCCCCTTGCCTCTCCTGCAGGAGGAGGCGGAGTGGAAGGGCCGGGGGGGGGGGGAGAGAGAAGAGAGGAGGGGAGAGGCAGGGAGGAGGGAGGGAGGATGGGGAGAGGCAGGGAGGGGAGAGGGAGAGGGAGGGAGGGGGACGGAGAAGGGAGGAGACCTCGGCGCCGCCTGCCTGCCTGCCTGCGCTTCTCCTCGACGGGAGGCGCGGGCGGCGGCAGCCCTGCCCGCACTCCTTGTCGATGCCCAGCACCAGCTGCTTCACCGCGCTGTCGTCCTGCCATGAAGTCGGGCGTGCCCCTCTGGAGGAGGAGCAGTTACACTAGCTTAAAACTATAGTCTGGGGGCGACTCCTCAACTCACTTTTGGGTATGTTTGGGAATATTTCGGGACTATTGTTCAACTTCCGCCCCATCTCCGCCTGTAGGGGGACATGCCCGACCTCATCCTGCCATATGGAGGCGCCAGGGCCGATCACGGCACCGGCGCAGCGCGGGGGGGGGCAGGGGGAAGGAGGACCCCAAGATGCGGGCGCCAAGAGTATACACTACCACCACGTTGCCTCCCACCTGTGCCACAGCCGCTTCTTCCTCTCCTCCTTCCTTCAGGTCGGGCATGTCCCCCTACAGGCGGATTTTGGACGAAACGTAAACATACCCCACAAATGCTCAAACATGCTCCAAAAATTGTCGAACAATTGTCCCCAGACTATTTTTTGCCTATTTTTGACTATTCCTCCTGTATAGGGACACGCCCGACTCAAGCCTGCCTGGGAGAGGGATGGGGGTGAGGGAGATGGTCATGGTGTATTTTTTGGGGGCCCCGCACAAGGCTCCTACGAGCAACAAGCACATCCAAATCCATGCCCTCGTGGTCTGGGTTCTGAGAGCCGATCCCATGGACAGATTCCGCGTGAGGACGGTGCGGCCGAGGCCGAGGAGCCTGGACCGCGAGGCAGTGCATCTGGATACGCTTCCCAGGCACGGGGCTCCCCCCTGATGGTCCCGAGACCCCCGTGATGCCACAGTGGGCTCTGAGAAGAGGCCCCCGCAGGCCAACAACGTGCCTCCGATAGCCCAGCTGTCCTGCGGCGACCGGAGTCTCCCTCTTTTTCGTCCTCCTTCTCATGCGCCTGCTGCTGCTGCTCCTGATACAAGTGTTCCTTTTCTCATTCTCCCCCCCTCCCCCCCGACCCCACCTTCTTCTCCTAACGTTTTCCGTTATAGCCACCTCATGGACGTGCGTACTCATGGCCACTACTCGTCTTCATCATCCTCATCCCCTCCGTGACCATTGCTTGCGCGCCTGAGGGGAATTGTCAGTCAAGCGCCCTCGGACGCTTCAACACGCGCCCCGTCCTTTCTCCTTCCACCCTCCCCTTCGCTTTCATGACGCCCCCCCCTGATACCACGTGCTCAAGAGAGGGCAAACAGGCGCAACACAACGACAATCTACGGGGAGGACAGGTGCATTCGAGCCGCGCCAGGCGTGGTCCTTCGGGCACCCCTTGAGCTCGAGCTCCTCGTGGAATCGCCGCGAAACGAAGGCAGAACAGGCCTGTCCGCCGTGTCCGTCGAAGACACCGAAGAAAGCCCAATCGTCCCGCATATGGATGACGTGGGCGTCCTCGGGCCGCCCCAGTGCGCGCCGGTCGAAACAAATGGATACAGACAAAATCAGTCACGAGGACCAGGAGTATGGATTCAGTGTGCCCACAAAGCGCCAAGATGCCAGCATGAACCCTGCGACAGATGATGCATGCAACACGTGCCCCCGATTGATGGATGCAAGGGTGCCTTGATTGCAAAGCTCATCCTGAGCGCCAAATTTATGGCATAAGCAACAAATCCATCACGGTGCCGCTAGGCACTCAGGGGGTGTCTTCAGGTTCCTTGGAGACCGCTGTGTAGCCAATGCCGATGGCAAGGATGCACGATGGAGATGCAAGGGCCTTGGAAGGCCATGCTGACTCTTTCCGAACGGGGCTGGACAGCGAAAGTGGTCAAGGATGGGCCGAAAGACAAGGGATGGACGGGTAATTAACCTGGAAAGACCGCTCATCCTTACTACGGACTTTGGCTGTATTGACTGCTGCACATACGCTTATGGACCCAAGGACCCAATTCACGGATCTCGTCAGGCGTTCCGTGTGTCCCAAGAAGGCCCCGAAACGGTCCAAGAGGGGCTCGAGACAGCCCAAGAGTGATCCAAGATGCCCAAGATGGCCTCCAGACGGCCAAGGGGGCTCCAAGATGGCCGCCCCAAGAAGACCCTACAGAGAGCACAATGAGGCACAATTCAATTAATTTCAGTATTGTTTTGAAGGGTTTCACGATTTTCGCCTTGCCGAGCTCGAGCCCAGCCAGTCCACGGCCAACGAGGCTTCCAATTGAAATATTTCAATACGGCAGGTTCGCGTCGTGTAGACCCCGGCGTTGGTTCCTGACACCGCGGGGATCGTTCAAACTTGAACGATCGGCCCTTTCAAAGAGGCCGGATCGTTCAAGGATGGGCCGATTCTGGGCCACAGGCGGCGTCCAACCTTAAACGCCCGCGCTGGGGTCGCCGCCAGTCGACACGACGCGAACCTGCCGTACGGAGCTTGTCATCCACGCATGCAAACACACGTTTTGCAACGGAAGCTCTGTCATCCTTCAACTCCCGCGCATCTCTCAATCCTCATCAACACAATCGCCATCACCACTGCCAGCCTCGCACTGCCACCGGCATCATTGCAACCGGTTGCATCTGAGTCGTCATCGTCATTCTCCCCACTGTCGTTCATCGTCCGGTCGACGGCAAATCCGTCGTCATCCTCGTCGTCATCTCGCTGCCGTCGTCATCGTCGTCATCATCAATCGCCCGCCCAGGGTATGGATCTGCATAAAAGGTCCGCGCGTTCATTGCGACTGTTGATCGTTGCTCCTTGTGTTGAGCAGCATCGCCCCCTCTCCGCTCCGTCCAGCTCGCACGATCTGCCCTTGAGATAGGCGAAGCAGCTTTGATGACGACGGCGCTCGTTTTTCCCTGTCGCGGGGCGATTGGTAACGCAGCGAGTCTCTCGTCACTGGTTGTTGCGGGCTCGGACCGCGGAAGCCCCTATACGGAGACCCGCCGAACCCCCGTGATCTTTTGCCGTCTCCGCATCACTGCACGGGCGAAACACCCCGATGGGCTGCCCCCGTGCCATGGGCAGGTCATCGAACCGGAGGCGACTGGGCGGCACATCAACTGCCGTTGCTCGCGGGCGGCGCCTGGCCGGACAATGTCGCACTCTGGGCGCGCCCGTCGGCTGACCAGAACTCTATCAGGAAGGAGCCAGACGTGGGCTTCCGAAGGGCTGTGCCCTCTGACTTGTGCATGCCCTGGGGGGGAGGCCTGGAAAGGGGGGGCCAGGCGGCGATGGAGGCGCAGTCACCTCTGCGGCGATGGTTCTCGGTGGGCCAGCGCGAAAAAGACGCCTGGAAATAAATGTGATGCGAGTTTTGGTGTGATGCGCGGGCTGCGTTGAGGGGCGCGAGCTGGCGTCAAGACCTAAAACTCGGGCGCGCACGAGCACGGCGACGCGGCCCTCCTGCGCGCGGCCGCGCGGCGTGTGTCGCGCGAGCAGTCGCCATGCGCGCGCGCGCCGAGCTGCGCGCCTCCAAATCGGAGCGCAACCTGCGCAACGCCAATTGCGAACACGGCCTAGTCTGAACGCGACATGGGGGGGCGCGAACAAGGACAACTATTGGCTGAAGGTGGGGGGAAGCCGGAAAAAGGCCGCAAGGCAAGGAGAAACGGGCAGAGACAGACGGGGACCGTACGGACAAACCGGACGACGCCTAAGAAGGCGGCGGGGACGACAAGGGCCGCGTGGACGACGGCCCAAAGGGCAGAAACGCGGTCTGCTGCTCGCAGAGCCCCGCCTCCGCGTCGATCCAACCAGAGTTGGCAGCGGCGCAAAAACATCACGGAGCGCGGACCTCTCGGCGGGCGCGCACTCCCAGCGGGCGCGGGCCTCGGCGGGCGCGGGGCTCCAGCGCGCGCAAGCGGCGGCGAGCGCGGGCTTCGACGGGGGCGAATCCCACCAGCCCTTTGGGCGTGAGTGGTTTAGCGAGCCCTCTCTGTTCTCAACCCCCCTTCTTCCCCTTCGGGGAGGGGTTTACCCCTCCCCCTACCCCCTCCCCCTGGGCCTGGAGAGGGCGTTTCGCGGGTCGTCAGGGGGGTCAATTTCGACTCCTGGGAGGGCTAAAAAAAACGACACCCCTCGCGAGGATTCTGGCCCCGACGGGGGGAACCAGAAAAAACCCTCTCCTCTTCTTTGAAGCCAAATTCATTGATTTTACTACGGTTTTGGCCCCATTTTGGCCTTCCTTGGCCCCATTTTGGCCTTCCGAGGGGGCAGCGCTCCTTAAAGCTCCCCTCTTCTTTCAAGGCAAAATCATTGATTTTACAAAAGGTTTTGGCCTCATTTTGCCCTTCTGAGGGGACAGCGCTCATTAAAGCTCCCCTCTTCTTTGATCGATTCCCTCCAAGATGGCCCCAAGAAGCGCCCAGGAGGCACCAAGAGGCCCCAAGATGGCCCCAAGAGGCCCCAGGAGGCCCCCAAGAGGCCTCCAAGAGGCCCCCAAGATGCCCCCAAGACGTTCCCAAGAGGCCCCAAGAGGCCCCCCCGAGGCACCCAAGACGCTCCTGGAAGCCCCTGGGACCGCCAAGAGGCCCCCAAGACGCCCCAAACGGCCTCCAAGAGGCTCCCAAGAGGCCCGAAGAGGCCCCCCCAAGGCACCCAAGACGCTCCTAGAAGCCCCTGGGGCCGCCAAGAGGCCCCCAAGACGCCCCAAAAGGGGACGAGGTGCCCGAACGCCTCACGCCACGAGGAGCCCGAACGACTCACACCAGGACGAGGGGCCCGAACGACTCACACCACGAAGAGCCCGAACGACTCACACCAGAAGGAGGGGCCCGAACGACTCACACCAGGACGAGGCGCCCGAACGACTCACACCACGAGGAGCCCGAACGACTCCCACCACGACGAGGGCCCCGAACGACTCACACCACGAGGAGCCCGAACGAGTCACACCAGGAGGAGGGGCCCGAACGACTCACACCAGGACGAGGGGCCCGAACAACTCACACCACGAGAAGCCCGAACGACTCACACCAGGACGAAGAGCCCGAACGACTCACACCACGAAGAGCCCGAACGACTCACACCAGGAAGAAGGGCCCGAACGACTCACACCAGGACGAGAAACCCCAAACGACTCAAATCACGAGGAGCGCTTTCTCTCCCTCCTCCTCCGCCTCGTCCTTCTCCCGCTCCCCCCACAAGGAGGATGTACAAGGAGGCGGGAGGAAGGAGGAACAGGGGAGATATGCGGGGCAAAGCGGACACACGCCTGAAACACACGACTGTCGGCATGCTTCGCAAGAGTTGCTGTTGTGAGATGGGCTGGTGGGGATACGCGAAGCGTAAAGAATTTCAGCGGGCGGAGACGTCCGCAATCGCAGGGCGCCATCGGGCGTGGACTCCAGTGGGCGCAGACCTCAGCGGGGGCAGAGGTCAACGGGCGCGGACGTCCATGGGCGCCAAGTTCAGCGGGCGCTGGCGTCGGCGGGCGCAGGCCTCAGCGAGCGCCGTCTTCAGAGGTCGCAGACTTCAGCCGGCGCCAGGGTGATCGGGCGCGTGCGCCTGCGGGAGCAAGCCTCGGCGGTCGCTGGCCTCGCTGGGCTCGGGCATCAGCGAACGCAGGCTTCAATTGGCGCCAGCCCCCGTGGGCGCAGACTTCCGCGGGTGCAGACGCCGGCGGGCGCGGATCTCAGGGGGCGCATGCGTCAGGATGAAGCAGCTCCTAGTGCAGATCGTGGTGTTAGTAGCAAGGGTTCCACGTGAACAGCACTTGGACGTGGGTCAATCGATTCTAAGAGACAGGGATGCTCCGCACACTCAAGCTTTGTCTCGTCTCTCGGACGTTCCGTCGCTTCCCCGGTCGTTCGGTCACTTTCCAATAGAAATCCAGGAAAGCGTGGTTGGGGTCCCCGCAACCACGCTTGCAGCAGATGTGCACGCCACGGCGGCAAATGTTTCCATTCAACTTGCTCTGCACGTCTTGAGATTGCACCCGAAGCATATGGGAGAGCCGCACGGCAAGGCGGCAACCCCGCCATCATGCAGATCGTTCGGCATGGGTGCCCTCTTCGACAGCCCGTTTTTCCTGTCGTTGCGCGGCTGCTGCTGCTGCTGCTGGCTCTTCGTGCGTTTCCGAGTCTGCTCGACGCTGGGATTGTCGTCTCCCTCGACGCCCCCCCCTCATGCCGGAAGCGCTGGAAGCGGCCCGAACCTTCGGCGGGAGCAACATGCTGACGTCAACAGAACCACGGACCTTCTCGACCTGGATGTCCTCAGGCAAAAGGCCCGCCGCGAATGCGGGGCGGATCCGTTTGGCGCGCGCTGGGGACGTCTTCTTCCGGATCTCCTTTGGCAGCAGCGCGGAGGTCGGCCAGGTCAAGGGGGGGCGCAGGGCTGGGCGTCAGGCGCCTCGCACGTGAGCGCCTGGAAGAGCCTCGCCCAGATCGGCCCGCGCGGCTCGAAGTTCATCGCGCCCGCGATGTCTGTTGCAAGACCACGGCGCCTCAGGGCCAAGAAGAACCCTGACCTCTACCTATCGACCCCACCCCCTAGCACTCAAAACAATCAATTCATTCCGGAGGAGGGGAAACCGCCGAGCACCCAAAATCAATTGAATAATTCCTCGGGGGGTGGCGGCGGCGGTGCGAGTAAGATGAGTAAGACACCCCAAGAGAGGCTTCAAGAGTCTCGCAGACATTTCAAATCCAGGAGACAACCCTGAACCAATTAAGACAACGATGGCACGCCGTCAACAAAGATCATTGGGTACGCACGATGGCAATTAAACCAGTTATAGGTGTACCGTGTAGCAACGACTGGACTGCAGGCTGACTAAAACTGCCAGACTCACTGAACCAGAGCAGCGCGGAGCAATCGAATACAGTGAAAAGCAACGCGCAGTAGTGCAAAACAACGCAGGGCAATGTGAATCATGACAGTGCGATGCCAGTGATAAGCAAAACCCTTGATCATATTGCAATTCAGCGCCAAACCTCCCCCCGTCTGGTCTCTATTTGCAACCCCGGGTCAGAAATGCTAGTTGTCTGGCTTCCGTCAGGCGTGGGCCACGACGGGAAAGATCTCCCCCCCGCACCGCTCGCGTTATTTGGCGCCCGTATTCCGAAATTGGTCCGCCCACATCCCTCTGGACAGTAGGGCAGGATCAGGCATATCAGAATGATGGCAAATATGTAGACGTGAAGTAGCTAGATTGTGGATGAGATCGGACACAAGAGCATTTCCCCCTCCTCCTACTCCTTCCGCCTCCTCCCCCTCCCGCTGTCCGCGCCGACACAAATCGCAAATCGCACCGGACCGTCGCCCGCCTTGCTCTGGATCTGAATCGAGTCCCATCTCGAAATCGCAATCGAATCATGGCGGGAGGCCTCTCGCATCGACACGGCAACCCTGGCGACCCGATTCGCCGCACCAGATCGAACCGAATCGAATCGCGCGCGTCCCGACCCTGGGGTCGGCCCAGGAGGCCACAATCATTCATTGGAAAGCAAAGCCGCTTTCGGATAAGCAGGAGGAGCAGGAGGAGGAGGAGGAAGGACCAGTGGAAACACAGGAGTCATCAACGATGTTGGGATAAACCCTCCTTCCAAGCTCCCTCCTCATAGGCCCCTACAACCCTTCATGTCCATTGAGGGAACTGCCTCGTTGGAATTAACTATTTGAAGACCCTGAAACATGTCAGAATTTTGCTCGGAACTTCAACGCCACGGATCAACCTGATTGTTGCGCCTGGACGATCTTGAATCGTGCCAAAACACCATTCCTGGGACTTCGACACCGAGAATCAGTAAACTGCTGCACCCTCATAATCCTGAACCCTTCCAAACACCATGTCTGGCTTGCTGATCGTAGGAATCGTGGAACTCTTGCAAATGTTTAGGACGAATGTGCGCGGCGCTGAGGGCAGAGTTTGAAAAGGAGCCGTCCTCAATCCGTGAAGCTCTTGCAGATGTTAACACGAATGTGCGCGGAGCTAAGGCGAGAACCACATTTTGAAAACGACCCGCCTTCAATCAGTGAAACTCATGTCATATTTTAAAACGAGTGTGCGCGCGCTAAAGCGAGAACCACATTTTGAAACCCACCCGCCCTCAATCCGTCAAGCTTTTTCATTTTTCCAGGACGAATGTGCGCGGCGCTGAGGCGAGAGCCACATATTGAAAACGACCCGATTTCAATCCGTGAAACTCTTGCAAATCTTGAAAAAAGTGTGCGCGGCGCTACGGCGAGAGTCGCACTTTGAAAACCACCCGCCCTCCATCTGTGAAGCGGTTGTCACTTTCTAAGCTTCAGGGTCATACGTGGTGAGGAAACCACAAGCGAAACGCCTAACCCGTCCTAAAAACTGGCCTCGGGGTGCGACAGAGAGAAATTGTTTGGAAGGAAACGGAATGGAGGCGGAGGATTGGGGAGGATGAGGAAGGACTAGTGTAAATCCAAGAGTAATCAACGATGTTGGAATGAACCCTCCCTCCAAGCTCCCTCTTCACAGGCCCATACAACGGTTCATGTCCATTGACGAAAGTGCCTCGTTGGAGGCATCCGTTTAAAGATCCTGAAGCATGCCAAAACATTGTTGGCGTGATTTCAGCGCCACGGATCAACGTAACTGCGTCGTGACGATCCGGAATCGTGCGAGAACGCCGTTTTTGGGATGTCAACACCGCGAACCAACATAACTGTTGCACCCGCATAATTCTGGAATCCTTCCAGAACGCAATGTCTAGTAGGTTGACCGTGGGAACCCGCGAACTTCTTACAAATGTTTAGAAAGAATGTGCGCGGCGCTAACGCGAGAACCCCATGTTGAAAACGACCAGCCTTCAATCCGCGAAACTCTTGCAATTTGGCAAAATGAAAATGCGCGGCGCTGAAGCCAAAACCACATTTTGAAAACGACCCTCCTTCAATCCGTGAAACTCTTGCAGATGTTAAAACGAATGTGCGCGGCGCTAAGGCGAGAGCCACATTTTGAAAACGACCCGCCTTCAATCAACGAGGCTCTTGCAATCTTTTAAAACGAATGTGCGAAGCGCTAAAGCGAGAACCACATTTTGAAACCCACCCGCCCTCAATCCGTGAAACTCTTGCAGTTGTTCAGAACGAATGTGCGCAGCGCTACGGCGAGAGCCACATTTTGAGAACGACCCGCCTTCAATCCGTGAAACTCTTGCAAATCTTGAAAAAAGTGTGCGCGGCGCTACGGCGAGAGTCACACTTTGAAAACCACCCGCCCTCCATCTGTCAAGCTGTTGCCACTTTCTCAGCTTGAGAATCATAATGGTGAGGAAGTCTCAGGCGAAACGCCTAACCCGCCCTAAAACTGGCAACGGGGTACGACAGGGAGAAATTGTTTAGAAGGAAAAGGAATGGAGGGAGAAGGTGAGACTTTCGAATGCTGGCGGGCCTTGCCGGTCTGAAGAGCGTCCAAAGGCTGGCCCAAGGGGCCCCGAAGATCGCCCGAGCATGCCCCAGGAGAGCCCAAGAGGCTCCCAAGACGGCCCCAAGAGGAGCCCCACGAAGGGAGCACGGACCCCCCGTCCTCCCCTTGTCCTCCTCCTTATCCTCCTCCTCCTCCTCCTCCTGTCGCATGTCGAGCCCCTGTGTCCAAGGTGGTCCCGGAGATCGCCGGCAACCCCCCCCAGGAGACCTGCACGAGGCTGCGAGGAGGCTTTCAGGAGGGCTGCGGAGGCCTCCCAAGAGGCTTCCAGGAGCCCCGACTCAGGCAAGGCAGATGGTGGGCTGGACCGAAGGTCAATATATAACCAGCCATGCTGGAGGAGGCAAGGGCGAGAGTCAGAAACAGGGAGAGCTGGGGCACCTGAATACATCTCTGTCTTCATGCTGTCGTTGCATGCGGCAGGTTCGAAGATGCCCCCAAAACGATGGGTTGCTCAGCTCTGGAGGACGAAGAGGAGCGTGGACAAGCATCGAGCAATCGCGTTTGCAGAAATTGCACGCTCGACGCCTCGAGCGGCTCTGCCCTGACGCTTGTGTGTTCTATGTTTGTTCGAGTCTGCGCTGAAGACCCGATCGAGCGATATCCTTTGATGACTTTAGTCACTCGTGAATTTAGATCAGCAATTCGGAGACATGCTAGGTTGTAGACGAAGCATGTAGCATGCATGCCATTATGGCTTGATGCCTCTTCCTATAAAACAAAAAAACAAACTATGACATAAACAACAACTCGAAGGTCCTCGCGGATTGCTCGGATCGGCGCTGGACCCCCCCCCTCCCTGGCGCGCGGAGCGCGCCAGGGGGCCCCAGCGCCGATCCGAGAAATCCGCGCGGACCTCCGAGTTGTTATGTCAATGTCATAGTTTGTTCCCTCATTTTCTGCCCAAGGGTCGGGTGTTGCCAGAATTGCCCCTGGCCCAAGGTGCCCCCAGCTTTTCGCAACATGTTGGAGCCCCTGGGGCCCTCTGGGCCTCGTGAGGGGTGTTCTGGAAGCCGTCTGGGCCACACCGAGAATTCTAGGGGCACCTTGGGCCAGAGGCACATCTAGCAACACCCGAAAAGATGCTTCCCCTCCCCTCCCGGCTATACTCTGAGTGTGGGGGCGTCGACCGCGTTCGCACGTGGTCGCGACGCCCGCTCGAGCGTTTCTCAGCCGCCCCCCCTCCCCCAACGCCTCCATGCTCGTGCGCCAGCCGTTCACCTCCGCGACGGCCACGCCCCATCCTTTTGCTCCGTGCCTCGCGACCGGGGCGCCCGCGGGAGATGCACGGCACAGATGGCGCGACGCTGCCGACGGAACGGTACAGGGGGCCTAGCCTCCTCGTCCTCGTTCTCGTCCTCTTGCAGTTCCTCTTTGGCCTCCTCGTGCTCCTCCTCCTTTCCCTGGTCCTCCTCCATCTCCTCCTCCCAAATCCTCCTTCTCCTCCTGCTACTCGTCTTCGTCATTCTCTTCCACAGTCGACATGCTCGCAGATGATTCAGAAAGGACCTGCGTCTGGGATATATGATCCCAGGTCGAGGGTTCACAGGCCTCTTCCCCCTAGATGGGATGGGCCTCAGGGTTCCACACCCATCCCCAGATGGGATGGGGGGACGCCCACGCCGACGCCGACGCCGACGCCGACCACGAACACGCCGACGACGCTAACGCCGCCGCCGCCGACGCCGACGCACACGACGACGACGCCGACGACGCCGACGCCGACGCCGCCGCCGCCGACGCCGACGCCGACGCCGACGCCGCCGACGCCGACGCCGACCACGACGACGACGCCGATGACGCCAACGCCGCTGACGCCGACGCCGACGCCGACCACGACGACGCCGACGACGCCGACGACGCCGACGCCGCCGACGCGGACGACGACGCCGACGCCGCCGACGACGCCAACGCCGCCGCCGCCGACGACGGAGGACGACGACGACGACGGAGGACGACGACGACGATGACGACGACGAACCACCCAACGCCCACAGGGGGGATGCACGGGCACCCTCCACCACGCAATGCCCACAGGGCCACGACCACAGGGGGGGGGGGGGGGGGAACGATCTCATTCGCGAGGCCTTCCTTCGCGAGGCTCATTGGCGTACCCATCCAGGGGGGGGCTCGATCCCATATGTATTCGGGGGGAGGGGGGGGGCATCTCTGGATGATCATACATGGCATTTTGTTCCGACGTCGCGTGCGTAATTGCGTTGCGATGATGGGTAGAATCACCAGCGACAGACACATCGGCAGGAAGGGAGAAGGGCCGAGGGGGACGAGGAAAGTGGGGACGATGCGGAGAAGTGGAGGATGGGAGAGCGATGAAGATGAGGAAGACCGAGGCGGAGAAGGAGGATGACGAGGAGGAAGGAAGAAGATGGAATGGGGGGAAGGCACGCTCAGTCGGAAGTCCCTGATAAGTACCCCATCCAGAGTATGGTAAGGTCGGACGTGCCCCGCTATAGACGGATTTTGGACGAACATTCTTGTTAAACAAATTGAAATACTCAGTAATACTCAAAGAAAATCAAAAACCGTCCCCTGGCTCGTTTTTGACCACTTTGCAATCTTCCTCCTGTAGAGGGACATGCCCGACTTACGAGCACGGTCTTGGGTCCCCCTCACGTCAGTGAAGGGGCCCTGGGACACACAAATAAACAGACACAAGCAACAGGATTCCCCATATTCTCCCATATTTCCGGGCTTCTGTGTTCCCCCCCACTTCCCATATTTTCCTATGATCTCTGGGGAGTCGGGGATCCCCCCCCGGATGCCACCACGAGGCGGGCGCTCGGGGCGTGCCCTCGAAGCGACGTGCCGCCACGGCGACCCCCCGCGGGCGCCCCCGCGCTCTTCGGGGACCTGCGGCCCTCGGGGATCGATTGTTCAAAAGAAAAAATGTCCTTAACCACAGACCCGACGTGTTGAAACAGGACAGTCTCAGCTAGAACTGTTCTCAGAACATCTGGTGCAGACCACAAACGGTTACTACGACATTCTTTGGTGGGCCTACAGGCAAGCCAAAACGCTTCGCCACTGCTTGATGTATGGCGACGCCCAAATCTGAGGCGCCACGCTCAGAGATCTTCTGACCCGGGTCGATCCAAACACGGGTCAATCAGGCCTTGCAGGCTCCTGCAAGATCCTGGGCCCAAACCCGGGTCAACGCGAAGGATCCTGCAAGATCCTGCAGGATACTGCGCCCAGGCCCGGGGTTCAATGCGCCCCTGGCCCTGCAGGATCCAGCAAAATCTGACGCTCTGGCTGACCCCGTCTGCATTGACCCCCGTCTGAAAGCACCCAATGACCCGGGTCAGTCCAGGACGGGTCAGTCAGGCCTTGCATTAGGTCGGCATGTCCTCCTACAGGCGGATTGTGGGCGAAAGCTTAAAAATAGCCAAACCATACTCAAACATACATTCAACAATAGTCGAAAAATCGTAGTCCGACTATTTTTGGACTATTTTGGGTTATTCCTTCTGTATAGGGACAGGCCCGACTTAAGTCAAGCCTTGCAAGATCCTGCAGGATCCTCCAAGATTCTGCACCCAAACCCAGGTCAATGCGACCCTGGCCCTGCAAGATCCAACAATGTCCTGCAGGATCCGGCACCCGAACCCGGGTCAGTGAGAGCCTGGCCCTGGTCCCGGCGCTCTGGCTGACCCCCGTTTGCACTGACCCCCGTCTCTTGAACCCCGAACAATGCTGGCCGCACGCTTTCCGGGTCCCCGAGCTCCTCCTGAGATCCTTATCGCCTCCCCGCGCCTTTTCGGATCTTAAATTTGGACGCTCGGAAGATGTACGGTCCGCTCACCTTGGAGGCGGCCAGGGGGTCTGAACTGGCTGGGACCCCAGAACATCGGCCAGGGGGGGGATGATGCCAAACCAGCTCAAAATCGGTCCCCAGAGCGCTCCTGGGATCCATCTGGTGCAATGTTTCGCCCCAGATCCTTGTATGACGGTTCAGGGGCCCGAAAACGGCCCCCGGAGGCAGGAAAATGCAACAACAACTGAAAACCCGAACCCAGCGCCTCGAAACTCGCCCCCCCCCCCCCCTTCCTGATGGCCCAAAGCAATCCAGGACCACCTCAGAACCCCAACCGGCTACAAATTTCGATCGTACCGATCAAATCATCCGCTCACCATTCTGTTCCAGACCAACTGTCACGTGCCACGCTTCTCGAGGCCACTCAGGTCGGCAAGTGGGACCAGAGCAGATGGGGTCGGAAGATGGTGCCGCGTCGCCGATGCGTCGGCGACGTTGGGATGGAGACCATCGATCTGGATCTTGCTGCGTCGCCGATGCGTCGGCGTTGCGGCGCGATCCCGACCATTTGGTGGCAACTCATGAGAGCCTCCCACGCCATCTTGCTGGCTCTTGCGAATCGACGCTATACGGTGCTCAACCGTCGCTAGTCGACGCCCGCCGACCCTAATTCGATGCTGATCGACGTTGAATCGGCGCTTTCTTATCAAATAACACACGCTAGCGCACGCCATTGCACAATAACAAATTCGAGGACGCACCCAACTCCCACGATTTGCTACCGACCCCGCTCACTCCGGGCCGGGATGCTATGCTGTGCCGCGAGAGCTGGCCAAGTCTGGCTTGTTCCCTCTCCAATCCGACGCCGCACTCTCTCCGTAGGCCCCTGTGGATCTCGGCCTCTTCCTCACCTCGAAACGTGTTCGACGGTCCTGGGGCCCGAATGCGAGCAAGCTGTCTATCCATACACAATGCATCTAGCAGTTTCGGGATCCTTTCCCCAGACACCCGATGCGCAGTGGATACGGATAACAATCTTGCCTCTAGAGGCTAAACTTTATTCATATCCACTGCGCGCCTCGTCCTCTTTTGGCGCCCCTTCCCAGAAAGTCCAAGAAACAGCGAATATGGATGTCCGCCTCTGCGTCCAACGACACGTTGGGGCGTGCTAGAATGCCAAGCGCTGTCTGGTAGGTTTTCTGTAATCTTCTAGGGCCCCCCCCTCCCTGTATCCACTCTGGCCTGCAAGCACCTCCTTCTCTCCCGAGGCCAGAATTCTGGGCAAGATGCGATCGATTCGCACTCTGGAGGCCGCAACCCCTGGAAAAATGCGAACACGTCTCGCTCCCGAAGACAAGATGCCTCCAAGACAGCCCAAGATGGCTCCAAGACGGCCACCTGTGACCTCAAGATGGCCCAAAATGGTTTCAAGACGGCCCAAGAGGCCTTCGAGACGTCTCAAGATAGCCCCAATAGCCTTCCCCAGAAGGCCTCGAGGAACGACAATCCTTAATGTTCAGTTGGTTTTTCAATGCTTTTGGGGATGTCGCCTTTTCGAGCTTCCGACGTCCCAAGACGACCCACGGGGCCCTCAAGAGAACCCCAGAATGGCCGAAGAGGCTCCCAAGAGGGCCCCAAGACGGCACAAGAGGGCTCCAAGACGACCCAATAGGCGTCCAAACTGCCCAAGAGGGCCCAAACACGGCCCCAATAAGGGGCTCAAAACGGCCCAAGAGGACCCCAGGGTTCCCCAAGACTGTCTCACAGAAGCCCACGACAGCTACACGACGGCCCAAACGAGGTCCATGAGGAATCCACAACTAATGAAGACAAAAGGTGTCACATGTGACGGTCTTCCTCTTACTCTTCTTTCTGCTCCTCCTCCTCCCCACCATCACCGTCACAACCATCACCGTCACCATCACCATCGCCATCAGCATCACCATCAGCATCACCACCAACACCAGCATCATCACCATCAGCACAATCATAGCCATTACCATGACCATCACCATCACCATCACCATCATCATCACCACAATCACCATTATCATCATCATCACCACCACCATCTCTCATTATCATCATCAGCATCAGCATCATCATCATCATAGCCACCATCTCCCATCAGCATCATCATCCTCATCATCTTCATCGTCATCATCGGCATCACCATCCTCATCATCTTCATCGTCATCATCGGCCATCCTCATCCTCATACTCATCATCCGCACCACCATCATCATCACCACACCATCAGCATCATCATCAGCATCGTCATCATCATCATCATAAGTATTATCATGAGCATCGTCATCGTTATCGTCGTCATCGTCGTTATCATCACCATCACCATCACCACCATTATCACCATCAGCACCATCATCATCATCATCACCACCATCACCATCATCATCATCAGCATCATCATCATTCCTACCATCAGCACCAGCATCAGCATCATCATCATCATCAATCATCAT